GGGTGATTGTCTTATACAGGTGATTGTCTTACTGTCTGATACAGGTGATTGTCTTATGGGTGATTGTCTTATATGAGTGATTGTCTTATGCAGGTGATTGTCTTATGGGTGATTGTTTTATATGGGTGATTGTTTTATATGGGTGATTGTCTTATACAGGTGATTGCTTATATGGGTGATTGTCTTATGCAGGTGGCCCTTAGAGCAAGACTGACTTTACTGACAAATTCACAAGAAGGTTAAACTAGTGCCTATACGGAGGCCGGCATGGTGGCTGTCTCTATATTATAGTGGTTTGAGGAAAGAGTTTTGCGGCACTTGCAACACTATAATAAGGTCATATAAGTGCCGAAGATAAAAGGTGTTACGAGTTACAAGAGAGTAACAAAATACAAAAAAAGAAGGATCTTGTTGTTTTTGTTGTTTTGTTGTTTTTGTTGTTGTTGTTGCTGTTCTTGTTCTTGTTCTTGTTCTTGTTGTTGCTGATATTGTTGTTGTTGTTGTTAATGTTGTTGTTGATGATGTTGTTGTTGTTGTTTTGTGGAGGGTTGTTTTGTTTTGTTTTCTGCTGGACTATAGAGGAGGTTTTAGAAGGTGTAACTACAGCTTGTGTAATAGTCTGTACTTAAATTAGGAGAAGCAGGCTAGATCTATTATAGCTTTGTCAAATTATTATTGAACGAGAATAATTTAATCTTTGTGTACAAACAAAAGTGGAAATATCTTTCTTATTCTCAGAAAAGAAAGGGTTAATGATTGGTCGTGTCTGGTCTGGTCTGTGCGGATTTCGTTGAACACCAGAACAAAGCGGCAAACTTTGACCGTTTTATAACAAGCCATTCCGCACTCTACATTTCAGCTGCAGTCTTCTCCAGACATAAAAAGGCTTTTCAAGTAGGCCTAGCATATTGATTGTGCTCATTCGTCGTTTCTCCCATTTTTCAAAAGGACAGTGCAAAAACGAACAGAAAAATCAATTGACTGCGCGCAGTTTTTTAAATTCTTTTCAGCAGTCGTGCACAGTATCATTTATTTATATTTAGATCTTATCAGCAGTCGTGCACAGTATCATTTATTTATATTTAGATCTTATCAGCAGGGTGCTTAATAATACATCATGTTTTATTTATAATACGAGTATTTTTTCTGAGCCGCGGTTCTGAGTTTTATTCAAGGTGCATTCGTAATGCAATCAAGTGCAATATTCTTCTAAAAGGGTGGTTGGCGGGTGTTGTGGTGTACTCTCCTCCCTCTCCTTTCTTCGCTTAGCTCAGTGGGTATCATGGTGGACTACAGAGAGAATAGCCCTGGTTCGAATCTCAGACTGGGTGTTATTGGACTCGGGTCGTTTTGTGGATTTTTCAAGGCTCTCGACCTATATAATGAGGCTCGGTTTAATCGGAGATAGACGTTAATATCGGAAGTCCCGCCTCTAAAATAGTCTATTAGTGTTGATAAGGGCGTTAAACCCCTACAGAGGATTGTCGAAAACAGGTGGCCGTTAGAAGAGGTTCAACCATTTGTATTACAAGCAGGGTGCCCGTTCGATGAACAGACGCAAAAGAATCGATCGTCAGGTCAGTGTGGAAACAGTGCGCACTGTTGGTGAACGGGGGCCTCACTTGTTTACAATGGAGTCTCAGAAGAACGGACTTTCCCAAGATTAGATCTAAACGAAACTGAAGAAAAACTGAAAGTTAAACTTCAATGACTTCAGACTCCTTAAAATAATTGTGCACCCTTTAAATGATTCTCAACGACTGTTAGTTGTTGTTGGGGGTTTTTTTTCAAATTCGGAAATTTTAGGCTACCAAAGTGACGAACTTTCACAAATATTATATATAGATCTATATATATATATAGT